TGGGGCCAGGCACAATGTCACCTGAATGCAGCTCAGGGCTGGACCCCAGCCCCAGCACAGCCTCTCCCAAGAAAAAACAGAGCAGAGGGGCTCCAGGGTGTGGGCAATGAGATTCTGGACCTTTCCTGCCCATCTCCCAGCATGGCCCTCAGCCTTCCCAGCCCTAGCAGGGCAACTCCTCTGCCAGACACCTCCAGTCAAGAGATGCACAGGAAAAAGGCAGTGCCAAGGGGGTGGGCATGGAGCTGGGTGGAGGGTAGGTCTCCCTGGCTCTCTGCTGTGGCCAGAGCCTCTGCAGCCCTCGCTGCTGTTCCCCTCTGGTAGATGCCAGCTGGTTGCCCATATACGGTGCGTCAGAGGAGGCAGAGAAYGCTGCGGATTTCATCTCAGCCTTTACCAGCAGCCTTAACAAGGTAGCTGTGGCCAGMTGGGCTGTGGCGGAGGCTGGCGTTTGCTGGCTGGGGCTCTACTGGGCTGTGGTGGAGSTGCCTTCCTCACAGGGCACTGCACCCCCAGTGCTCCGGTCCTGCTGGAGGTGTCTGCCCTCCCACACTCCCTGTCTGTGTCTATCCCCTGTCTGCCAGGACACCCACAAGGCCACCTTTCTGAAATGCGTCTTCATCCTGTGCAAAACCGCCTCGAAACGTGGCTTGACCCAGGGTCTGGATTTATTCTGCCAAACATGCGAGGTGGCAGAGAATATCCAGGTGAGGGGACACCTGGTGCTCTGTGGCATTGGCACCCTGTGTGGACAGCACTTGGGTGGGTCAGGGACTGGAGGCACCGGGTGCTGGCAGCTGCCAGGTCCCATCCTGGTTGTGTTCTGCAGGAAATCCTGGAAAATGAGCCAAGGAATCGTCTGACCTCAAGGGTCCGGAATGTCGCCATGCTTGCCATCCAAGAATTAAGGTGGCCCCCCTGCCCCAGAGCTCCTGCACGAGGCCTCGAGGGGCTGCTCCCAGTGCCAGTGTCCAACTGTCCCTCCTCTGTCCTTGCAGCTTGGTGGAGAATGTGCTGGAGGGCAAGACCAAAAGCCTCCTCTCTGCATGTTTCTCCAGTGTCTTCTGGCTGCCCCCCGAAAAGGAAATGCCATATCAGAGCGCTTCCCTCTTCAGCACGGTAAGCGCTGGGTGAGCTCCAGGAGCTTCCAGTCCCTCTGGGATGCTCCCTGCTCCCCCTGTGCTGCCCCATGACCAGAGATCTGAGGCTGGGTGAGGTCTTGGTGTGGCTTTCCCACCGYTGTGGTTCTGTCCCCTTCCCAGGGGCCTGGCTGTGTCCTGTGCCACAAGCTGCTCTGTGCCCAGCACTTTGTGTATCCCTGCATCTCTCCGGGGCACTTCAGTRTCCTCCTCTAGCACTGAGAGCTCAGATCAGTCTCCTGGGCATAGGGGAAGGAGCAGCAGAATCACAGCCRCTGTTGTCTGTTGCCTTTGCAGACCCTGAAATGCATGGACACAATGCTGAAGACAATGGTGCTCAGCTTTCCTCCTTCCCGTGTCAGCAAGGAGCTGCAGGACATCTTGGAGGTCTGGCACAAGCAGAGTGGGGGTCCCAGGGCTGCCCCTCAYCCCGGAGGGGAGGAGTTGCTCAGTCCTGTGCTGAATAGGCARAGTTGTCTGGGGGAGCAGGGGTTGGCACCAGGCTCCTCTGAAGCACAGTGGCTGCAGAGGGTGCCACCTTCCTGGCCAAAAGGTTGTCCTGGGACCTTTGTCCAGGCCTGTAAGGGACCCCAGGAACCCCATTGCAGGTTTTGTGTGAGGACAGAGGAAGCCTTGAGGGATGGTACAAGTCTGGCCCAGGAGCAGAGCAGTGTTGGTTCCTGGTGCTCACTAGTGGCTTCTGTCATCCCAGATGCTGCTGGACTTCACCAGATCTGAGAGACAAGTTGTGCAGGAGAGGGCTCTGGGGAGGATTAGTATCCTGACCTATTTGCTGTCCAACTATTCCTCTCTGAAGGTAAGGACCAGGCACCCTCCAGCCAGGCCAGGCCCCCATCTCTGCCACTCTCCATGCCAGGGCTGCTGCCCAGCTGGTTGTTCTGTGCCCTGCAAACCCGAGGTTTCCCTGGTTCACTGGGAATCCAGAGCTGGCACATTCTTGGGTACAAATCTTCAGCACCAACWTCCTTCTCTTAGCCTTTCTTCTCATGCCTTCCTCATCCAGGCCTCTTCCAACCTTAGAGGAGACAGTCCTGGACCTGTCTGCTCTGGAGACATCCCAATCCCAATCATGGGAAAGCTGATGGGACGTCTCATTATTTTCCGATATTGCAAGGAACAAATGAGCTATACAGCTTTCCATGCTCTTTTCCACCTCGCTGAATTCATCTGTGAGTAAAAAAAMCAAAAGCAGCTGTATCCTTCATCCCTGTGCGCCCAGACCTCTCTTGACAGATCTTCCTGATCTCCTTTGATCAGAAAATGATCCATTTTCTTCCCATAGCATCCCAGCTGTTACTGCAGAAGCTGAGTGCTCACTTCAAGTTCAGGATTTGTTACTGCTCTCCTTCCTTCCCTTCCTTTCAGGACCTTGAACCCTGCTGGCTTGTGGCCCCCACAGCCAAAGCTACAATTGAGTCCTAGGTACCAAAGCCAAGCTTTCCCTGTTAGAGAAGAGCAGATCCATCACCCTGGCTGGTCCCTCTTGCCTGTAGCAAGAAGCTTTTCCAACACCCTCCAGAAATCTTGACTAATTGTGTCCTGCTGTCTTGCAAGCAGATCTCAGGGAGGTTTGATGAGCTTGCTGGCCAAGCAGCTCTGCCTTACTGACTCTTCTGTGTTTGCTCTGCTGTTTAGTCAAGTCAAGGTCAAAGGACATGTCAAACACACGCGTTTGGGAATCTGTGACCGCCTCCTCGCTGTGTTCCCTGAGCACCAAGGACTGTACCCAGGTAATGAGCTCTCCCCTTGCTGGGGCYCTTGTCAGTGGTGTCAGCAGKGCACTTGTGTGRGCAAAGGGACCCCGAATCAGCAGGGCTGGTGGGGTCTCACTGCCCTGAGAACAGGTTCCTGCCATCCCTGAGCAGGGACAACACACGGCCTTCACTCCTGTGTTGTGGCTGCAGCCCCAGCAGGRGCTCCAGCCCTCCTGGCCACCAGCAAGCCCCTAGTTCTCTGCAGGGCCAGCCCACCATGCCATGAACCCTCTTCCTGGATGTGGAGGGCCCTCTCTCCTCACCCTCTCCCACAAGGGGATTGCAGGCAGTGCTACTACTTCCCTGCAGGATCTGCTACTAGTGCTGCCAGAATATCTGCCCAGCCAAGCAGCACCATCAGGGCACTCAAAGGCACATATCTTCCTTCCTTCCTGCCATAGGCTTTTGGAAAATACCTCCAGCCTAGCGAGAGGGCGGACGTTGTCCTCGAGGCCATCAAGGCGATAGCAGATGCCAGCATCCTTGACAAGCAGGTGCCCAGCAGCATGCTGGATGTGGCCATGGAAGACCCAGACTCCTGGCTGACAGATGTAAGTGCCCTGGCGCTGGATTGCCCTGATCTTCAGTCCTATCAGGCCTTGTTCCTCCCTCCATCCCTTCCTCAAAAATCCAAGTGACCTGGGCACCTGAAGGCAGCAGAGAGGAATGGGAAGGGCAGCTGAGGACACAGCTGCACTCCAGTGCCAGTGCCATCCTCAGCTGTATCCTCTCCAGGTACCCAAGATAGTGAACTGCATCCTTGAAAACCTGCCGTGCATCATCACAGAGCCATGCTGTGAGAAAGTGGAGGCCCTGTTTCTCCTGATGACCAACGAGTACCGCTTGGCAGTGGTCATCAGTGTGTGTGAGACGGCTCTTCAAAGAGAYGGGTACTGGCCCTGACAATCTGAAGGGTTTGCTCCATGTGGGAAGAGGGACCCCAAGACTCTGTGGCTGCCAGATGCAAGGAGTGCTGCAGCCCATGGAGTCAGGCTCTTAATCCCCCAAACCTTTCCAGCTCTTTGGCTGGTTGGCCTGCAGKTGCCAAAGCCAGCCAAGTCAGCTCAGGGCCAGCTCGGTGCCCCCAGCCCTGCAGAGAATTCCCCCTCAGCCCTGTCCTGCCTCCCAGGCAGGGCCCTGAGGACCTTCCCAGCACAGGCTCTGTTCTGTGGGGCTGGTCCTGGCCATGGTGCTGTGGCTGAGGCAGCTCCCTGGCTTCCAGAACTGTGCACGACCTGTGGGACACTCTGCACTCTGTGCCTGAGATTTTTGACAAGATCCTGATAGAGTTTGCTACCTTGCTCCAGAACAAGTGGTGCAACCCTTCCAGAGAAAGCAGAACTGTGAGTTACCAGAAAAGGCCCTGATCCCCTTCAGTGAGCCCTCTGCCAGCCCCTCAGGGCTATGTTTGTTCCTGCAGTCATTCTCGGGACAGATTGACTTGGAGGAGCGGGGTGACAAACCCAACATCTGGAGCTATCAGGGGTCTCCTGACGTGAGGGTGGGCTCCCTGCTGCTGGAAGTCCTTGTTGGGCTGTCAGAGAGAGCTGAGATGGTGAGCAGGGTGGTACTGGGGCAGCCACACTGGCAGCCAGGGGCTGGGGCTGAGTGCAGGGCAGTGGCTTGGCCTGGGCTGGTCTCCAGACACAGCCTTTTCTGAAAATGRAAATTCTCTTCTTCATAAGGCAAAAAAGATTGAAGCCTTCCTGCCAAGCTTGATGAAGATACTGGAAGCTGGCAGTGAAGATGAAAAGAAGAAGATTGTCATDGTCTTCCAAAATATCCTGGTTCGGCTGAAAAAGACAGTGGCCAGCTCCATCGCTGTGCTGCTGGTGGGGAAGATCCTGCCCCTCTTTGACTCGGTGAGGCTGATKTGGGAGCCTGAGCCCTGCAGACAGGCACTGCCCTGAAAACCTGACCTGAAAGCAGCGCTTGGAGCTGGCTCAGCTCTCCTGGAATGGATTCTGGGCTTTGMAGCCCAGCGCTGCTTCTGCCCGCTCTGGAATCTGACCCCAGAGCATCGCCCTCCCCACAGCCACGGGCAGGGAGCCACTGTTTCCAAAGCTCACCTTTCTTCCCCCTGACCAGGAGAGTAGCCGGCTGAGAGAGCTCTCCCTCTGGCTCTTCATGGACCTGGTGAAGTSTGTGGTGAGCAGGGATGAGAAGCGGATGAGGAAGGAGATTAGGAGTGCACTGGTCCCACTCCTATTCCGTGTGAGTGACCAGGACCCCAGCGTGGCCAAGGTATGGATTTCAAGGCTGAACACTGATATGGGGAGGGACTGACATCTCCCAGGGAACCTGGGCATCAGGGCCAGGGCTGCTGGCAGAGGGAAGGGCTCCCTCAGCACAGCCCCTGGGAAGGTTCCCTGTGGTACCAGCACAAAGCAGGGATGGCATGGCCATTTTCAACACTTGTCCTGCCCGCTCCATCAGGGTTTGGCAGCAGTCCATGGCCACTGAGGCAGCACCTGAGGCTTGAACACGTGTGTTCCCAGAAGCCCAGAGGGTTCTCAGCTTCCCCACAAGTGTCAGAGGCCAGGGCCTCAAGCCTCAGTCAGTCACCCAGGGCTGTTCCCAAGAGACTCCGAGACATTTGGGTTAGGACAAGTCACAGCTTCCAAAGGGCCGGGTCACCACAGGAATAAAGCCAAGAGGTCTCTTTCCCCACTCCTGGTACCACCTCTGAGTAGTGCTGTTCTGCAGGCTGCCAGGGAAGCCCTTTTTACTGCTGCAGAGCTTTTCAAATGGCAGAAGCTCAAGCACCTGCTGCAGAGAGACCGGATGTGGGAGCTTGGAGAATGCTTGGTAAGGACAAGACCCAGGCTGGGTAAGGGCCATCTCTGCCCTATGTCTGTCCCCATGAGAGCCCAGGGGAGCGGAGCATGTTCCGAGTGATGCCCACAGGCTGGGCAGGACCTGGAGGATCTTGTTGCTATCCTTGAGAACAGAGCCCCCGAGGCTCCTCTCCAGGCCCCCCTCCCCTCCCTGTACTCAGCAGGATGGGGAGGGCTCATCGATCGGGGTGCTGGCAGCTGGGAACTGCTCCAGCCAGCTGGGGGGCTCTGTGACAAGCCTTGAGACATCCCTGGTGCTCCCTGCAGCTGATGACAAAGAGCAGCATGGCTGAAAATTACATGCAGCAGAGCCTGCCCTACCTGAGTGACCCCCAGTCCTCCGTGCGCCTGGCWGCCGTCAGGTTCATCGGTGAGTCACAGMCCCTGGCTCCTTTTGGGCCAGCCTGGCCATGTTCCTGCCACTGCACTGACAGCAGGGACAACCCTATGGCTACCCCAGCCTCCCCATGCAGAGCCCCAGCCTCCCTCTGCCCCCTGCCACAAGGTGGGATTGRTGGTGGCTGCCTTGCTCAGTCCCCTCCCTTAGGCTGCCGGTGGCCCCTGGGTCAGTCCTGTGCAGTGGGAGGGTGGCAGGGCCAGGGGTCACATTGCTGGGAGYGCCCTGGCAGCAGGGAATGACAGAGCTCTGTGCCCAGGGCGTGCCATGAAGCACATGAAGGAACAGAATTTGGAGAGTCAGGCTGAAGTCCTCAGTGGTGAGTGATCTGTGGGGAATCCGGAGGGGCTCTGCAGACAGCGCCTTCATCTTGGCTGTTTCTTTTGGACACAGCCCTTCAGCCCTTGGAGACAGACGGGGATATCTCTATCAGTTCCATGGCAGCTCACACTGGCTTGGTCCTGAGATCTCAAAGGGTGCACCGAAGATCATGGATCATTCTACACGTGCTGTGCTGCTGGTGCCTGTGAGCTCAGCAGAGGTGYAGCTTTCCATGGATTAATAAAGTTGCAAACACATCCAAGCCATGGTATCCTTTAGATTTGTTGTGCCCTGAGTGTGCTAAGCAAGCTGTGTCCTCCTTGGCCTGTCCCACAGGCAGTGGGTGTTTCCTCTAAAGCACACCTGGCCCCAGCCTTGTTTGGCAGGCTGATCCCTAGCTGAGGCTTTACCTGGGAAAACCCACTGTCCAAGGGCTCTTGCAGCTGATTCGCCCTTCCTGCCTGAGGTTTACACACAGAAGGGTTTGGGCAGGAAGGGACTTTAAAGACCTTTTRTTTCCAACCCCTCTGCCACAGGCAGGGACMTCATCCAYTCAACCAGGTTGCTCCAAGSTGCAGCCAGTCTGGCATTGGATGGTTTCAGGGATGGRGCAGCCACAGCTGCTCTGGGCACCCTGTGCCAGGGCCTCACCACCCTCACAGGGAACAATTCCTTCCCARTGTCCCATCAAATCCTCCTCTCTGTCAGTGGGAAGCCATTACCCYTTGCCMTGTTACTYCAGGCCTTTGTCCAAAGTCCTTCTCTAGYTTTCTTGTAGCCTCTTCAGRCACTGGCAGAGGCTCTGAGTTCACTCCTAAACCTTCTCTTCTCCAGCCAAAGTTACCCCTGTGTGCCCAGATGTTGCCCCATACTGTGACCACTTTGTCCTCCCAACCCCAGGAGGGTGCATGTCAGCAACCCCTGTGTAGTGGCCACCACAAGTCCAGAAACTCACCCAGGGACATTCCCAGACCCCAAAATTGCTCCAGATCATGGCCATTGCCCTCAAACCTCTCCACAGCAGCCCTGGTGCCCCTCATTCCTGAGTCCATCCCCCCCAGACCCGCTGAGGTGCCATTTCAGTGACAGTCATGATTGTTTTCGGCAGTGAATGTGCCAGCAGTTTTGTGGGGTGGAAGGTGGCAGGTCTGAGGAGAGCTTTGGGGTGTGTGTGGCTGTGGGSGTTGGCTGCATCCCCCAGGGGATGTCACAGCTCCCAAATCATGCATAGTCACCCCAAATCACATCCCTGCCACCCTAAAATGCTGCACTTGGCCAAAAAATACCAGCACAGGACCCCAGATTTTGTGCTGGGAGGCCTCAAATTGCATCCCTGGTACCCCAAAATGTCCCCATGGGCCTTAAATTGTACCTGCAGAGCCCCACAGGGTCCTTGACAGACTCCAAATTCCATTCCCTATATTCCAAAATGCCCCCCTGAGTCCTGGAGTGCAGCTGTGGGGCCCCAAATGGCCTCTGGCAGCCCCTCTAGGTACAGAATCACGAGGGAATGCTCAGCCCTGAGTGGACTGCAGTGCATCCCACAGCTCCCTGGGAAGTGCCAGGGGCTTCAGGGTGGACCTGAGTGAAGGGCTCTGTTTTAAATGTGGCATCTCTTTGTTTTCCACCAAAACTAGCCTCATACACACACACTCTGCAGAGTGCAGAGGCTGGGGAAAGCCTCCAACTCTTCACCACACATCCCGAACAATGAGGAGGTGATGCCATCCTCAGGCGCTGGGAAAAATAGCAGAGGATCTGAACRGCGGAAAGGAGCTGGGCAGCCGGAGCACCCAGGGGAGGAACCAGCGCTGGTTTCCATGGCTGGCAGCTCCCTCCTACTGCCCTGGGACTCAGAATCCCCCAGAAATCGCAATCCCTGCAGAGCTGCCCAGTGCCCTTCAGGGAGCAACAACAGGCAGTTCCTCTTGCACTGGCACTGGTGTCACTGGAATCCCTAAAAACCTCTGTAATCTGTGAGAATACCCATGTGCTGTGTCCAGTGGTGGGACCCTCAGTTCAGGAAAGGCACTGAARTGCTGGAGCAAATCCAGAGRAGGGCAATGAGGCTGGTGAAGGGTCTGGAGTACATRTCCTGAGAGAGCTGGGGGTGTTYAGMCWGGAGAAAAGGAGGCTCAGGRGTGAMCTTATCACTCTCTACAATGCCCTGACTGGAAGGAGGACCCAGGTGGGGTCAGCCTCTCCTCTCAGGCAACCATGGACAGGATGACAGGACATGACCAGTTGCGGGGAATGTTTGACATTAGGAAGAATTYCTTCACAGAATGAATKATTAGATATTGGAAGGGGTTGAGCAGGGAGGTGGTAGAGTCACTGTCCCTGGAGGAGTTCAAGKAATGACTRGATRTTGCACTCAGTGTGACAGAGCCCAGGGACAAGGCTGGGGAAAGGCTGCCCTTTTGCAGGACAAGGCAGGTCCTCTCACAGCCCCAGAAACCATCAAGGGTTTTGACTTTACCCTTCAGTAGTGGACAGAATAAAAACCAAAGAGATTCTGCACATGTCCTGCTTGCCCTGGCCTGCTCCTGCGCTCCAGCACCAKGGCCTGGTGGCTGCAGAGCCCGGACACTGCCCACAGCTGCCCACAGGGACACACCGTGCTCTGGTGGCTGCAGAGCCTGGACACTGCCCACAGCTGCCCACAGGGACACACC